GCCTGTAGTTCCAGCTACTTAGAAGGCTGAGGCGGAAGGATTGCTGGAGCCCAGCAGGTCAAGGCTGCAGTGGCCGGGAGCAGCCACTGCACTCTAGTCTGGACAAAGTGAGACTCCAACTCAAAAAAAAAAAAAAAATTTGTCTTAGGTTGTCTATAAGAAATAGTAAAGACCTTGTCTATTTGTCTAGGAATTCCTTAAGTGCAAGATTGTGTCTATTCTTTATATAATCAAAGCACCTTAGGTGGAACTTAACATAGTTACCGTTATGAACCGTTTGTGTCCCCCAAAGTTCATAAGCCCTAACCTCTAATTTGAAATGGGGCCTTCGGGAGGTAAACTAGGCTTAGATGAAGTTATGAGGGTGGTGCCCTCACAACGGGATTTGTGCCCTTATAAGATGAGACAAGAGAACTTCCTCTCCCCCTTCTCAATACACAAACAAAGAAGAGGTCATGTGACCACATAAAGAGATAGTTACTGTCTGCAGGCCAGGAAGTGAGCCCAACCAGGTAGTGAATCTGTTAGCACTTTGATCCTGGACTTCCTAGTCTCCAGAACTGTAAGAAATAAATGCTTGTTTTGCTTTATTTTGTTCTGAGTTGGAGCCTTACTCTGCAACCCAGGCTGAAGTGCAGTGGTATGCTCAAGGCCACCGCAGCCTTGACCTGCTGGACTTAGATGATTCTTCTGCCTCAGCCTTCCAAGTAGCTTGGACTATAGGTATGTGTCACTGCACCTGGCTAATTTTTTGACTTGCTGTAGAGATGAGATCTTACCATGTTGCCCAGGCAGGTCTAGAACCTCTAGGTTCAGGCAATCCTCTTACCTCCACCTCCCAAAGTGCTGGGATAACAGGTATGAGCCACGGTGCCAGGCCTAAATTGGCTTTTTTTAAGCCAACCAGTCCTATAGTATTTTGTTATAGGAGCCCAAACAGACTAATAGAGTGAACTGAGTTATCTCACTCCATAATTCACAAAAGTTGTGAATCTGCTTAGGCTCTGATGTAGCAGTAGGACAAAATAGTCAAGAACTCTTCCAAGATAAAGAGGTCTCAGC